TGTGTGCGCGGGTGTGTGTGAGAGAGAGAGTGTTTGCGTGTGTGCGAGTGTGCGAGTGTGCGAGAGTGTGTGTGTGCGTGTGTGCGCGTGTGTGTGTATGCGTGTGTGTGTGTGTGTGTGTGTGTGTGTGTGTGTGTGTGTGTGTGTGTGTGTGTGTGCGTGCGCGTCGGTGCGTTCGCGCGTGCGCGTGCGTTTGCGCGCGTGCGCGTGGCCGCCAGGTGTCGAGGCTCAACCCTCGATCCTCGGATCGAGGGCCCAGGATCCTGGAGTCCAGGCACGGCGATCCTCGGATCTAGGATCCGAAGTGATCGCAGACGCCCATGGCCATGGTCCTTCATCCGAGGATGAAGGATCGAGACTGCTCGATGGCTGTGCGGGCCCGAGGACGGCGACGAGGAACGTCGACAATCGCCGAGTCTCGATCCTCGAGCCTCGGGCGCCGAACCCGGGATCATCGAGTCCAAGCGTTGCGATCCTCGGGCCTAGGATCCAAGGCGCCCAGAGATGCCTGGAACCAAAATCTCGGATCCTCGATCCAAGGATGGAGGATCGAGCCTCCTCGATGGCGGCCGGGGCGCCCGAGGGCGGCGATGGGGGCGATCTACCAACTATCGCCGAGGCTCGGCCCTCGGGCCTCGGATGTCGAACCCGAGATCTTTGAGTCCAAGCATTGCGATCCTCGGAACACGGATCCAAAGCGCTCAGAGACGCATGGAAAAATATCTCGGGCCCTCGGTCCGAGGATGGGGGGTCGAACCTCCTTGGCGGCGGACTGGGCGCCCGAGGGCGGCGAGAGGGGCGGTCTACTATCGCAGAGGCTCGGTCCTGGAGCCTCCGATGTCAAACCCGAGATCTTCGAATCCGAGCTTGGCGACCCTCGGATCTAGGATCCGAGGTGCTCGCAGATGCTCAAGACCAAGATCTCGGGCCCTCGGTCCGAGGATGAGCGATCGAGCCTCCCCGATGGCAGCGCGGGCCCAAGGGCGGCGACGAGGGAGATCTACTATCGCCGAGGATCGACGCTCGATCCTCGGATCGCGAACCCGAGATCTCCGAATCCAAGCATGGCGGCCCTCGGATCTGAGATACAAGGCGCTCGAAGATGCTCGGAATCAAGATCTCGGATCCTCGATCCGAGGATCTAGCCTCC